TATCTGGGTTTTGGTTGTTGTCTCAACCTGAAATGCTCACAAATGACTTCAAAATAATAAAGTTTTTGGTGAGGAGGTCCGAGCTAACCTAAAACACAACAACCTCTCCTCCACTGTGTCCCCTCACATACACTTCATCATGCACACTAAGAGCTGACCTCTTCCCATCTAGTCAAACCACAGCTGTTTTCTTGTGCTGTGCCCCAGGGGCCCAGGAAGGGTCCCCAAGCTCTGCAGTGTGAGACGCACAGGAGGGTCCCTGGAAAGCAGGTGAGGAGGCAGTGGTGATCACAGCCTGAGGGGCAGGGTGATCCACAGGGGTGGGCCAGGAGGCTCTGCTGATCTCAGTCATCTTGGAAGATTCCCTGCTCAAAGGGGTGGAGGTGTGAACCTCACAAAAACACCCCAGGAAGAAACAGGAGCTTGGCGGGAGGGTGCAGTGGTTAGCCACGGACAACAGCACAGAGGCCCCAGAACGAAGGGGCACCTAGCAACAGAGGGTGCCACTGGGAAGCTGGCACCTGGACACATGTCACAGCCGAGCAGCCAAGTCACACCAACCCAGCAAATGGCTCTGGACACGGCACACCTTACCCCCTTCTCTGATTCCTTCCTCTGTGGCTGCTGGAGAAACTAGAGGAGAGGCACACCTTCCCAGCCCTGCCTGACACCCAGGGGAGCCGGGACAGAAGACAGCAGAGAAATCAGGTTCCAGCTCGGACCGCAAGGGACTTTAGTGACCACCACCCAAACGCCGCAGCCAGACGCTCAAGGTACTCCTTTCCTAGAATCCACTAATTCTTCCTGCGCAAGGTGAAAACGACCCGTACAGAGAGGCCAAGGCAGAACCAGTGAAGGAAGGTGGTCACTCATGGAGTCGAACCTAGACTATAAAGTGAACTTCTGTTAAGTCTGAGGTGAGAGGGACCTGTCCAAGCAGAAAGGTCAGAGGCGTCAGAACAGGACGGAAGGCTAAGTCACACTCTCCAAGAGCGGACCACAGGGAGCAGGATGGGGCCACTTCCAGCCTGCCCTACAGCATTTCTCCAACCTCACCCCCAAGCATGAATGCCGTACCCCCACTTCTCTCACACCCAGAAGTTGTCTTCTCAGCCAACAAGCTCCCCAGACCACCGAGACACTGGTAAACCCTGCACCCACAGGTTCTCAGAGCCTTGGGACAGGAAAGAGAGGACTCTGATGTCCGCTTGTTTATTGACTTATTTCAAGCTACTACTTCTATGCAGCAGACAAGCACCTGTCATTCATTGCCATTCTTGAAGTGGTCTTTGCTATTTTGTGTGGCCTCTTTCTTTCTGATGGGAGAGGCAAGGTGCACGGTGCTCCTAAGGGTGTGAACAGCTGAGGACTTCATCCAGCCGGCCAGCAGGAGTTCTGGCCATGGTCTGCGTATGCACCTGTGCAGTACTTGATGCTGTCTGTGCACGAGGCAGCCACCTCCTCCTCAACACTGTGGTCCGGACCGGGTTAAACACTGGACTAACATAGTCAGCTGACTGAAAAATGACAGGATTCCCTCAAGTTCTTAAAATTGCCTTTCTTTTTGTTTGCTTAGCTAAATGTATACACGAGATTCTTCCTATTTGTAAATGTTAGTTGCTCATAGCGGCATCATGGTAATACTACAGGAGGGCCCCCAGGTGTCCCTGGATGAATGAATAAAGAAAAATGTACATACAGACAGTGAAATCTTGTTCAGCTTCAAAACAAAATAGAAATCTTCAATATGCATGATCCTCGAGGACCAGGTGAGTGTCACGTGCTAATCACAAAAGGACACAGAGGAACACAGAACAGTCACATTTACAGAGACAGGAAGCAGAGGAACAGCCACAGAGGAACACAGAACAGTCACACACACAGGAAGTGGGGGAAGAGCCACAGAGGAACACAGAACCGTCACACACAGGAAGTGGGGGAACAGCCACAGAGGAGCATAGAACAGTCACACATGCATGCACGAAGCCTTGGGTTTGATCCCAAACACCACAGAAGCCTGGTGTGGAGGCATACACCTATCCACCAAGCACTCTGGAGTGAGAACCAGCAAGCTCATAAAGTTAGGTTCATCCTCAGCTATAAAGTGAGTTCAAGGCTAGCCTGGGCTACACAAGACCATCCCAAAACAAAAAGCAAAAGCAAAAATGTTCTGCTGCAATGAAATTATTACTTCCAACATTTACAAGTTCTCTAGGAGGTCAAGTCTTCTATTTTATGAAAAAGCCAGAGGGAACAAAATTTGAATATTAAATATACAATTTTAAGTTTCCCTCATTAATACTCCTGTCCAAAAGGTAAAGAGAAATACATAAGACTTAACATTTTAATTTTTGATAACATAATCTCCCAACTGTTTTTACTCAGCTAAAGGTGCAAGTATGTACTATTTGTAAATAAGCACCCAGGGAACCATGCAGCAGGAAGCTAACCTGGACGAAAAATGACAGCAGGAACCACGGGAAAAGCTGGTGTGGTGAGGAGTTAGGGCAGAGAAAAGCACAAGAAAAGTGCATGTTAACGCTGTTGGCATGACTGGGCTCTGGGAACATCTACAAAAGCAGGCTGCGTTCGGCCCAGGGGCAGTAATGTGCTGACTCTTGATCTAGATAATAAGACCAACTGAAAACACCACACGTGAAGACACACGGACAAGACACCACCACTGTCTTCTGTCCTTGAACCAGACTTAGAAACAGCAGTTTTAAATTTAAGATTTTCCTTTCCAGCTGAAGTCCTACTTGCCTTTCAGATAATAGAAGTTCCTCGGTGTGCTAACATGTCTCTGGTGGGTTCTTACGCACAGTGGGATCTTACATCCCACCCTCAATAGGACACGAAGAGTTCCCCTTCCTTTAACAACACACTTTCCTTAGTTTACAGACTCCTAAGTTTCTTCACAGAACACTCTCAAGGCACAGAATACAACATGGCCACCTGTTTCAAGAGCACAGCACCTCAGAAATTACTGTTAGGATGCCCCCTACCCCTGTAAAGAATGTATGAATATTTATAAAGTGGGAAAATGTCTAAAAGATGCCTAATGAGAAAACATAATATGAATGAAGAAAGCATATGGAAGAGACTCTCACATTCCCGCCTGAGGCAGCAGGAAACAATTTAGAAGACTATGGTGCTGATCTCAAATGTTCACGCTGTTCCCCACATCATCATCTACTTTTACACATATAACCATAAGCATTGTGTGCTTTTATTAAGATTTTTATGTTGATCCTTAGCCATCAGGGAAATGCAAATAAAAATGAATTTGAGATCCCATCTTATACCTATCAGAATGGCTATGATCAAAAACACAAGTGACAGCTTATGTTGGAGAGGATGTGGAGCAAGGGGAACACTCCTCCACTGCTGATGGAAATACAAACTCGTACAGCCACTTTGGAAAGCAAAATGGAGGTTTCTCAGAAAACTGGGAATCGACCTACCTCAAGACCCAGCTACACCACTCCCGCGCATATACCCAAAGGACTCTACCATACCACAAGGACAACTATGCTCATAGCAGCACTATTTGTAATAGCCAGAAACTGGAAACAGCCTAGATGCCCCTCAACTGAGGATTGGATAAAGAAAATGTGGTACATATACACAATGGAGTACTACTCAGCTGTTAAAAACAAATACATCATGAAATTAGCTGACAAATGGATGGAACTAGAAAAAAAATTACCTGAGTGAGGTAACCCAGACCCAAAAAGAATAACATGGTTTGTAATCACTTATAGGTGGATATTAGCCATAAAGTAAAGGATAATCATGCCAGAATCGACAGATCCAAAGAAGCTAAGTAACAAGGAGGGCTCAAGGGAGGACAGACAGATTTCCTCAAGGGAGGACAGACAGATCTCCTCAAGGGAGGACAGACAGATTTCCCTGGGAAGGGGAAACGGATTTCAAAGGTGGCCTGGGGGCAGGTGGAGTTGGGAACATGAGGGGTCAAGGGGGGAGGGTACTGAGAGAAATGACTAGAACTGGGGCGGGGGGCACTTGGAGGGCAAGGTGGAAACCTAGTGCAATGGAAACTCCACAGAATCTACAAGAGTAATCCTAGCAAAGACCCCTTGCGATGGGGGAACACAGAGCCTGGACCAGCCATTCTGTCACCAGGCAAGGCCTCAAGTGGAGGACTGGAATACCAACCCAGCCACAAAACCTTCGCCCTCTAGTATGTCCTGCCTGCAGAGTGTTCTGGGACCAGAGCCTAATGGAGTTGTCATCGAAGAGACCAGGGAGACTTTATCCAGCAACTAACGGGAGCAGATGCAGAGTCCCACAGCCGAACACTGGGCAGAGTTCAAGGAGTCCGACAGAGGTGGGCGAGGAAGGATCAGAGGAACCAGAGGGGTCAGGGACACCTAGAGAACACAGCCTACAGAACCAACTGACTGGGACTCATCGGGGCTCACAGAGATCAGGGAGCCTGTATGGTTCTAACCTAGGTCCTCTGCATATATGTTACGGCTGAGTAACTAGTTCTTGTGGGGTTCCTAACAATGGAAGTGGGGGTGTCTCTGACTCTTTTCCCTGTTTGTGGGACTCTTTTCCTCCTACTAGGTCACCTTAACCAGGCTTGATATGATGGTATGTATGTGCCTGGTATTATTGTAGCACATTATGCCATGTTTGGTTGATGCTCTGGGAAGCCTGTCCTGAGGGGAGGCAAGATGAGGTAGATCTGGAGGAGAGGGGAGGTAGGGGGCAGATACTGGGAGTAGTGGGGGGAACTGCAGTTGGTATATAATATATGTAAGAAGAATAAAATAATAATAAAAGATTTTAATGTTGAAAAAACAGAAGATTTGCAATCTTCGTTGTTATTAATCAATTTGAATAGCAGTATTTTAAAAAAACTCGTTCTTGTACAACTACCATCTATGGGACATCTACTACCATATAACAGGAATATTTACACATGCACCATGACAAGGTCTCTGAGGATGGACTTTCACAGCATACAATACCTCGGCTCCCCCCATCCACTTGGGCTCATCAGGGAACTCAGCACACAAAATATCTTCAGACTGATCTGTCCCCAAGACGTGATAGCAGAGCTTCTGGTGGAGATTGGTGGAAGTCTCTGTCCCTGAAGAATAAAACATGTTTACTGAAATGCAATTGGCAGTTTCAAGACAATCTCCACTACGTCCATCGCACAATGCTAAGAACATTTCAAAGGTTGATTATATGATTGAAGGACGCAAGGTTAACAAACAAGTCAGTCATGTTCCTACACACCAGCAACAAATGTGGGATTGTTACCATAGCAACCAGCAAAATGAAAGAACTCACTGTAAATCTAACGAAGTATACACAAGGTCTATACAAGGAAAATTATGAACCATCCCAAAGAAATAAAATAACTAATACACAGAGATACTCTGCACTCATGGAGAGGAAGGCTCAGTGTCACCAACACGTCAGATCCTCTCGGCCTGACCCATAGAGACAATGCCAGGATTCCAGTACGTTAATCTATGGATTGGGACTGTCCTGGTGGTTTTGTTTGCTTTTTGTTCACCTTGACACAATCTGGAGTTATCTGGAGAAAGGAACCTCAATTGCACAAATGCCTACAGGCCATGTGATGAAGACATTTTCTCGGTTGATGATTGATGTGGGAGGGCCCAGCCCACTGTGGGCAGTGCCACCCCTGGGTAGGCGGTCCTGGGTTATACAAGAAAGCAAACTGAGCAAGTCATGAGGAGCAAGCCAGTAAGCAGCACTCCTCCATGGTCTCTGCATCAGCTCCTGCCCTGACTTCCCTCAGTGATGGATACTACCTGGAAATGTAAGAGGAAATAAACCCTCTCCTCCCCAGACTGCTTTTGGTCATGGTCTTTATCACAGCAACAGAACCCAAACTGGGACATGAACACAGATTCTCAAGTTTTCATGGATGATCATAAGGAGTCAAAATAACTGGGAACACTGAGGGCCAAGGACGAAGGCGGAGGACCGATGCTGTCTAACGTCAGTGCTGCCATCTGGGAAAAGCTGGGGACTTGTCATCCCAGCACCCCAGGGCAGAGCCGCTGGAGCCAGCCTGAAGTTTAGCCAGGTCTGCACTGCAAGGCTTTGTTTTAAAATAAAAGACTTGGGGGGATGAGAGGGGGTAGGCATGGATAGAGGGCAGCGGAATACCCTAGCAGAAACAGAAAAGGAAACTAAATGGAGGAAGAAGGGATTAGCTGGAGAGGAGGAGAGGGGGATAAGAACAAAGTATAACAACAAAAACATGAAAGTGCCATGATGACACCATTACTTTGAATTATACCCTAAAAACTAATAATGAAAAAGTGCTACAGGACTCTTGATATGTGGCAAACAAGAAGTTTAGCAACAGAATTAACAGCCCAGAAGTAGACCCACATAAATACAATCTGTTGATCTTTAATAAACAATCAAAGGAAAGTGATAAATACTAACTTTTCACCAAATGGTACAAGGAGAAAAAAGCAAACCTAGATATAAACTTTACATTCCTCACAAAAATTAACCCAAAGAAGATCATAGACCAAAATAGAAAACACTGAACTATAAAATTCCTGTAAGATAAAGTAGGAGAAACATAGGTGGCCTTGGAGCAGGAGTCACTTTTTAGATGTAACAATAAAGGTCACTGATAAACTTGACCATTAAAATTAAAAACTTAACTTGGCCAAAATTCTACTGGAAGAGTGAAAAGTCCGAGACTGGGACAAAATCTCTGCAAAATACCAGTCTGACAGAGGGCTGTTAAGTAAAGCATGCAAAGGACTAGTAAGGCTCAGAAATCAGAAAACTAAAGCCAATCAAATAATAGGTCAGAGACAAACAGTCAATAAGCTGTGAATAAGGGCTCCACATCATGTCATCCCCCAAAAAAACTGTAACAAAATGTAACTCGGAGCTACCCGACCCTGAGCACTCAGACACTGGCAGGCAGCCAGGAACCCTCACTCTTTGGGAATGCATTGGAGGATGGTTCTGGAGGTTTCTCGCCCTAAGATCTGGCAACTGTACTGCTTAGAATTCATCATAAGGGTCACCAAAGTCCACACGGAAATCTATCCATGATAGCAACTTAGTACGTAATTGCTAAAACAAGCAAACACCCCATTCCCCTCAGTCACTGAATGGATAAATATGACAAACAATAGGATGTTATTCCTCACTAAAAAGGAAAGAGCCAGCTGGGCATGGTGGCGTACATATGCCTTTAGTCCCAGCATTTGGGAGGCAGGCAGATCTCTGAGTTCGAGGCCAGCCTGAGTTCCAGGACAGCCAGGGCTACACAGTGTAATCCTGTTTCAAAAAACCGAAAAACCAAAAAAAAAGAAGAAAGAAAGAAAGAAAGA